TGCAGATGAAACAGATGAGCTCCACATTTGTTGTATCGCCCTTTGGCAAGCCAGGGTATGGTAGGTAGCGCGATGGCGACAGGAAGGGAGTTTGACAATATTTGTGGGATCTGCCAACGCTCACTTCCACAGTGCTAGATTACGGGTGTGCACCACCACCACTCAGTAATTCGAGACACGGAAATCTTATTCTTTCGTATGGCTGATGTAGATGCAGAGCAATTACTACAATTTCACGTTCAAGTAGTCAAGACATATAACCACATTAGAAGTAGTGGAGTTTCGATTTAAAGCTTTCGTGACTGCAAGGATTAATCTTCTTTGGTTCTTTCCGTAAAGTCACGTCGAATGAGAATAAAATAATAAATTGATAAAATAAAATAACACAATAATATTCTCACGACGTTTCGGCCACAACACAAGCGGCCTTCATCCGACTGATGCTCCTGTCTGGTAGGACAGCACTGGAGTGACAGTCTCGTCCCTTCACCTGATGAAGGCCGCTTGTGTTGTGGCCGAAACGTCGTGAGAATATTATTGTGTTATTTTATTTTATCAATTTATTATTTTATTCTCATTCTACGTGACTTTACCGAAAGAACCAAAGAAGTAGTGGTGTATTGCTGTGATGTCTCCTTCATATTTGTGGATTGGGCATTGCAGGTAGTGACTGTTAAGGAGAGTGTGCTTGCACTGGACGAAATTATGGTCAATGGACGAGACTGATGACTTAGTGGCAGCCATTGGAGAGATTGAGAGATGATATTAGCCCATGTGCAGGATTGTGGCATCAAGTACCGTGGGCAGTGGCAACAACATGGGGACATTTCACCAATAGTGGATAGAACATGGCTGATGGGGAATAACATAACGTCTAATATATTAAATGCAAATAGTCGAGTTTGCAAAGAGAGCCACCCTTTATTATTATCTTTGCCCCACAAACACCACAAATGCTTTCGGTGCGTTGCGGTTCTTAAGTTCCATTTTAATATTGTGTTCTGCATATACTGTAGTGCATTGTACCAGTGCTTAAGCTTACAGTGGGTCAAGATGGCATAATTAATATACGACAGGAGTTTGGTTAGTTCTTTAATTCTAAAATGTACTCCAAATGATGGAAAATTGTATTATTATATTGTCTTCACATGCATTTCGTTAGCTATTGCAAATAGGTTAAATGTTAATTTATTTGTAGTTAAATTTTCATTTAAAATGTGTTTTCACAACGCTGCTTGTACTGTAATGTGATACACCCAATCAGTGAAACTTTGAACACTTAACACAAAAAAAACATGTTGACACTTTGTAATATCAATTTATTTCATTGTATACATCTCAACATCAATATATAAAAGGTAAAGTTGTGAATGTGTGTCTGTTCAAAATGTTTAGCGTACTTCCCGACATGCAACAAACTTGAAATTTGCCATGTGGGTACTTTCCAGACTGTACACCATGCAAAATGTTTAAAAATAGACTTCTATATTTTTTGGGGGGGGGGCGTAATAATGCATAAAATTTGCAAAGCAAGTGAGCTGTGACGTCACATCTATCATGTGACCCGTATGTGGAAGCGTAACGGAGTGTGCCTGCTGATGTCACCCCCCCCTCCCAAGCCCTCCGTTAGTAAAGTGAAATAGAAATGTGTTGCAGGTCTAAGGCGTTCTTCGCGCATCATTGCTTTATTATTTGAGTCGTTTACTGCCGTACGCACCCTGAAAGCTGTGTGTGTGTCTGCAGCAAGCGCGTGTATGTGCACCTATGGACGCGCGTGTGTGTGTGTGGGGGGAGCGGTCGTGTAGTGGTTAGCGCTACGCTGCGCTACGAACCCGGCCACCCGAGTTCGATTATTTTAACCGGTCCTGGGCCTCCCCTAGGTCTACTCAGCCTCAAACGAGTAACTGGTGTGGTGTGTGAACATCGCCACTGGGGGGACAAAGGCGGCCGGGCGTGCTGAATCCAAGTCCCGGGCGAAGCCGGGTAGTAAAGCTAGTATAACAATAAAAAAAGCATTGCTTTTTTTTTCTATGGATAAGGTGGTGGCACTCAGGCCACAGTATATATGGTGAGTCATATGGTTGTCCTACAAACAACTATTTACCTGTAGCCCACAATGGAAAGATCAATAGAGTCAAAAACATGTGAACGGAGAGAATAACATGGGAAATACTGTAAGAGGAAAAGGATGGAAAAGGAACTGAAAAACGGCAACAAAGCTTCAGCAAAGATGATAATGGGAATAAAAAGACTACAGAAGGGCCTTAATGCTGCACGAAGCAGCGTTTGTTTTCACAGGGGGCAGGAAGAGGAGAGGGATTCAAGAGAGTGGGTGGCCACACAGAAGTCATGCAATTTACCGGACGCTTGAACTAATTTGGGCATACGGATGTACTGATTCTTGCCATAGGTATGTGGAATGTTTACCACCGGCTCAGGGCCGCCAACAATAATGAATATTGCCCCACCATTATGTTATCAGGGGGACATGTATTGGCTTGTAATTGACAATATTGTCCCAGCAAGAATATAATGCGTGGTGACGAGATCTTTCACCCTCGCCTGGTATGGAGGTCGTAAGTTCGATCCCGACTCTGATGCCTGTAATTTTGGATTTTGCATGTTCTCCCCGTGGTTGTGAGGATTTTCCCCTGGGTCCACTGTTTTTTCCCTCCACATTTCGAAACATGCGTTTAGTGTATTTGGCTCCTAGAAATTTCCACTTCGTTGAGCTATCATTCGTGGCCAGGTCGCTTCTGAAAAATAGCTAATAGCTCCAGTGGCCTTTACCTAAATAAATAGTACTAAATACCTCCAAAACCAAGGTGCTATGCTTCTCACCGGGACTAAAGCAGGAAGTTATTTTTCCCAAATTACATTCCTTAAATAATTATCAAATACAGCAAGTCAAGATCAATAAGTATCTTGGGGTCATCCTGGATTCAAAACTGAATTTTGAAGATCACATTGATTATATTGGTAAAAAGACAAAAATAAAAATTGGTTTTCTGTATCGACACAAGCACTGCTTCCCCCCTATGTTCCGTTTGGAATTCATAAAAGCTACCATACTGCCTCTACTTGATTACTGTGATATCGTGTATAAATTAGCCCAAGTACTGTACTGAAGAAGCTCCATTCCATCTATCACTCGGCCTTAAGATTTGCATTGAACTGCCCATATAGGACTCACCACTGTGAGCTCTACATTGGGTCAAACTTAACATCTCTTAATGATCGACGGCTTGTACACCAGACCTTATTTATTCACGATGTACTTACAAAAAATTCTGCAGACTACCTGCTGGATCTCCTCTCTGTTTCAAAGAACAAATTTGACCTCAGGTCTTCGCTCATCTACCAGCTTCACATTCCCTATTGCCGTACAAAAACCGGAGGAAGGGCCTTTGCTATTGATGCCCCCAGGGTCTGGAATGCTATTGCCCATAAACTACAACTTGAATCACTACCTATGAGATCTTCACTCAAAACTGCTCTAGAGGAATTGTACACCCCTAGCTGCCACTGCTATTCAGTGGCCTAAAATAAAATAAAATGTTTCGCTCCGGATGACCGCTGCAAAGTATTATCTGTATTTTGATTTAGTGTGCTGATCTTAAAGGTGCATTGAAAAATGTGATACTCCGACTGATGCTCCTGTTGTTTGTGGAGTGACTCATGCAGCCAGCTGTGGCTCTAGGGTTTGGTGTTACATGTTATTTATGTAGTTTATTGTTAAAAATTCGGTCACAGTTCCTATGATCACTGTTACATTGCATTTATGGCTTTATTTTGGTGATTTCTAAAAGTTTTTTTGGTTTGGCCATGTTTTTGTTTATTGTAGTACGGAGTTAGACTGATGGCCTTAATCTTAGTTTTCTTGTTGTTGTTGTTGACTGGCATCCCACTGGGATTTTTGCACACAGCGTTGGTGTACAGTGCTATTTCAGGAATATTTTGATGTTTTTTCCTGTATTTTCTGTTTGCACATGCACAAAGTCACTTTAAGATGTTTTCTTGTTCATGTTTTTGTGTTTTTGTTTGTGGCGGTTGCACCCTATTCAAGAGCCGAATAGCTCACAGGGCTCTACCAAATAAATGAAACCATGAAACCTGCTAAATACAACTGATTAGTTTTGGTTTAGTTTCATAATAAATCTGAATATATATTATACTGGAAGAATCCGATGAGCTATAAATATTTTTTTCACATTTGTCCAGTCGGGGCAGGTCAGAACGTTGCAATACAAAAACACAAATGGAGTGAAAAGTATAGGACAGATAAACACATCATTAAAAAAATGTACATACAAATAAAACGAAGCAATTTTTTTCTATCTCACCAGGCAAAACCCACTGAGCTATCAGCTGGCCACACATGAAAGCTAAACGAAGTGGCTTATCACGTGGGAATTTATAGCAGCAAAATAATCTAAATAAGCATACATGTTTTTTTCTAAATGTGGAGGGAAAACCCGGAGTTTTTCCGGGTTAGATCGCGTAAATATAAGTGTGTTATTTTTACGCGATCTAACCCATAAAACCTTTATTATGCATAATATCGGTCGCGAAAGCCTTACTACTACGACGTGTTAAAATCGCGTTTAACTTCTTCTCTCATTGAGCATCTCCCCACGTGTCCGGGCGCGCTCACACACTGAGCGCTGCTTCGCTCCGCGCGTGACCCCGCGCGCCCCTCACGCCAGAGCCCCCGCGCGGTGACGTCAGCGTCACGCGCACGTGGGCGTCGCCCTCCCCCCACCCCCGTGTCCGTGCGCGCGCTCACCGACGTCACGGACCCCCCCTCCCCATACCGCCCCTCCCCCCACCTCCAGCACCGGAAATACCGGCTGCGCGATGACGTCACGGGCGCTCGCGCCACGGCGGACGCACGAGAGCGAGTGAAGGGTGGCGGGCGCGCCTCCTTTCGGGCGTCATCGCGCTGCGCGGTGACGTCACGTCGCGTGCGTGGCGATGTTTACGACCGTACGCGCTGACGTGCAGAGGGGAGGGGGAGCCGTGCGTGGCGACGTCAGAGGGGCACGCCGCTCCCGTCGCGCTGGCTTAAACCGCTTTTGTGTCTCAGTCCCGCTCGAATGTGGCCGCGTTTGCCCGGCACTCGACACTTCTTCTCCGCCGAATCTCCTCGCCTGCTCGCCGCTCTTCAATGAACGGACATATCGCAGTGAGTGGCCTCTCTTGATCGCCTCCACCGTCCGCGCGGCTCTCGGTTTGCTTCGCGGCTGATGCGGCGGCAGGAAAGGGGGGTTGGGGCGGATGGGTTGCTTGAGGAGGAGGCTTCAGTTTGGATGCCGGTGGACGTGCGGCGGCGGGGGGGGCCGTAGTAGTGGTGGCGGCGGCGGCGGCTGTGGTGGTGGTGGCGGCTCTGGCTGCGGACCTTGGGATAAGGACACGGGGCAAAGCGTGCGCGTCTCGCGGTCTCTCCGTGCGTGCGAGGATGGAGTCACCCCCCCCCCACCACACCGTCACCCACTCCCCTATCTGACGAAACCCTCACGCTTTTGTCGGTGTTAATTCGGTACCTGATTTTTTTTATTCTTCTCATCAATGCAATGCCCCCCCCCCCAGCCACAGGAGCGCGCGACACCTGTGGATCTTAATTGGCCGTCGATGGCCCTTTGCGGAGTTGGGGGAGGAATTTTGTGGAGAGCCGTGAGAATGTTGGGATGATTCGGAGACACCACCACCACCATCATTACTAGGGGGGTGGTCTCGTATCACACAATGGAAGCCAAGGCCATCCTTTAAGTTGTTTAGGACAATAGCCAGCGCCTTGCCCAGAGATTAAGACGGATAACTGTGCAGTCTAATTAACGTAGACGGTTTAATATGCATACGTATAGATACACACACACGTTAGTGATGTGAGTCTGTGGTGTGAAAATAGCGTGGCGAAGCGGCTGGCGCAGACCGTGCGGACCCGGCCGGTAAGCTAAGTTCAATCCCCAGCCACGGTTTAACATACGTGACGAGTGATCATCTCGCTTCGGCCAAGAAAAGAGTGACAAAGTGTGGTGAATGATGATCAAACAAACCGCCGTTTGGGCATTTATCCAGCTGTAGATTATAAGAAATTGCGTGTGTAAGTGTGGTGTCAGAACGTCTCTTGGTCAATATACAGTACTCTTAATATTGTGTTATAATGTGTAAAAGGTGCAGTGTTTGAATATGTTATACAATGTAAAAGGAAAATGTTACGATTTGATTATTTAAATCAACACAATTGTTCAACCTGCAGTTTCCAACAATTTGCTTACAAACTGGTATGATCTGCATTTGTTATTACCTGTTTGTCTCACGTGTAATTCCGAACATACAGCCCCCCCCCCCCCCCATTATTCTTTGTACACTTTTGATTTGTGTTCTTTTTTTGTAAGTGACCTTGTTTGTCACCCATATCAGGTTAAAAACTGAAACAAAGCTGAACACTTCCCCCGTGTAGACCCCTATATGGCTGTGACGATGTCATTGATATATGAATGCTTCAACATTTATACAATCTCGATATACTTCAGATATAGACTACTTTAAACACTTGTGGAGTAGATCACAGTATTTGCATTTCCCAAACTGAGCAGCGTGAAGTATGGTCAGACAAATCCAGTGAATGCAGGCGTGGGGGAATCCTGACTCCAACTGGATTAAAATGAGCCGCACATTATGTTTGTGTTATAAACGTTAATCTATCCTGCTATTGTACATAGTTTTACTGAACAAACAACTTGATAAGAGCATATAGTCGTACTTTTTCTTTGAAACATCTCATTAATGACATTCAAGCTGTTAAGAACGTGATTGGGTTTGGGCAGTGCTTAAATTGAAGGGCTGATGAGCCAAGAATAATGGTGGAGTGTCTACTGGACGTCTGCGAAAAAAGAGCTTTAGCTCATCGGATTCCTCCAGTATAAATATTCTGAAATAAATCATAATAGAACGCGTCTGAGGACATTCACCCAGGAGATGGGGCGATGAAGTTCGTTCGTGTGTAGTTGCTAGGTGGATCGCACAATCGCTGGATCGTTGCATCGCTGGATCGTGCGAGATGGTGGATTGGCCATGGCTGCTGATAAGAATGTCAGAAACGGTATAACGTGTGATATATACTGCATGGTTCATTTATAGATACAAGTTAAATATATTTCGGACACAGCGCCATTTAGTGTGTGCGTAGTAGTATTTCAGTAGTGAAAACTGGCAAACATTAACAGATAAGGCCATTTATTTATTCAAGGTCCTGCCAGGTCTTTGAAAGGTGACATTTAAAAAGGCAAAATGACCGTAATTTGGAATGAACACACCACTTACTATTGTACATTATGTAAAACGTGTCGAGATGAGTTGTGATACGCAGGGTTAATCACGTTGCTGCAATTTCGCAAGAGGCTCTGGCATTGGGCACACAGGGGAGAGAGGGGGGCTTGTCGGCCGGCTTGGACTGGTTGCGGTGGCTGCTTGTGGCACTGGGTGTTGCTGTGGGAGCGAGCGCTGCACGTGGACATAATAAATTGCTCTGGTGTCCCTGTGCCCCAGTTAGTATAATAAACCCACAGCTAGTGACCCACGACATGTTTAAGCCCATTAATTGTACCGGCGGGTTGTGTTTTTTAGATGTACAGTTAGCATAAATGGTTTATGAGATGTATTATGTTGTGTGTTTATTTTGCTGTTGCCACTATATTACTTTTTGAATGTGGATTATTTTAATGTTGTAACTACTTTGGATGCCACTCAATTTTCAAATCTGTCGTGGCAAAAGACATTTGATTTATTAATTACCATTGGTCACCCATGCAATTGTTGCACTGAGATGAGCACGGACCACATTTGTGTTTAGAGCCTTATTTGTTAATTAAAATAAACACAATTTGGTCAATAACGATTGAGATAAGTCAATTCATCGTTGCGTCATTTATTTTTCATGTGAGAGGGACCTGAAGTTCTCTGGGAAACCCACCCATTTCAGTGTGCTCAAGTCTACTGACCCCATATCGATCAGAAACCTGGTTTCTGTGCTTGCCTCTGAAGGCACTTCTCTGCAATAATAGGTAGCAAACTTATCATGCATCATGTCTACTTGGCCACCACACTCCGTATGTCACTGTATTCAATAATGCAGTTGAAATAACACTCATGGGGTAGGAATCCTGATTTTGTTCCACGTCTTTATTGTGGCATCTATTACACTTTACAGAAATGTCATGAAAACCATGTTTAGTTCTTATTGTAATTGAGAAGCTTGGGTGGCTTAGATCAGCGGTCCCCAAGCTTTTTGGCACCAGGGGCCGATTTCGTGGAAGACAATTTTTTCACAGATCGGGGGGGGGGTCATCATTGGGTCTTTCCCCCTTTTCATAGAAACTCCGGCGACGTTTGTTTTTTACTTATTTTGGCTAGGGTTGGCTTGTGGGCTTGCCAAAACTGACTGAGACAAGTGCGCAGTGCGGGAAAGAGGCGCAGACGGAAGTGGTAAATAAAATAATGGGCGGGCCACGCGCGGACTCACTGCTCTCACCTCCTCCTGCTGTGCGGCCCGGTTCCTAACAGGCCACGGACCGGTAACAGGCCACGGACCGGTACCATTCCACGGCCCGGGGGTTGGGGACCCCTGGCTTAGATGACATTGGATCCCTCTTGATCTCAATGATGTAATGCAAATTGTTGATTTGTTTGTATTTGTAAACCAGATAAAGCCCTTTAATCTATGATGTAAGTCAGGTTAACTGGTTAGGAGACAAAAGATTGGCATTGTTGTAATAGTGAAAAGCTAACTGAACCCTATGGCGGGACCCCGGGGGTCCCGAATAAACGGAAGTCAAAATCGTAATTAATTTATTTTTTGCGACTCCCGTCCCACGCCGCGACCCATCTGACGCGGATCATTCTGTTGTCATGTCGGCCAATCGCAGCGAGGATGAATGAGTGCAGAAGAGCTGAACAAGCGAATGCACTCCATGCTCGGGTATGGGCAGGATCATAAGTCTTATCCAAAGCTTCTCAAACTGCCTACACGACTTAAGTCCTTTATGCATAATACAATGAAACTGCTCTCTTATCCTCATTATTATTTGTGACCTACCAATGTCTGCAGCCAGGATGAATCGATGACAATCCTATTACCTGCAGATATAAGTTGCGTTGCACCATTAATTCCTTCTGTTTGATAACACTATGTAACACAATTTTTGTTCCTGGGTAGTAAGTGTTATTTCCTAATTGCTTATGCCTCAAAAGTACAGAAAATGGCTATTATTCCCCACAAACTTTACTTTGGTGATCAGGACTTTATGTGAATGAAATACACAAATGCACACGTTTTCTCATTGAAAAACTTTGCTTTTGGTCACAAAAGCAAAGTTTGTGGGGAATAATAGCTATTTTCTGTACTTTTGAGGCATAAGCAATTAGGAAATAACACTACCCAGGAGCAAAAAAATGTTTTTTGTTACACAGTGTAATACTTCTCTTGTCTGTATTCATCTGTGCAGATAGGTTTTTTTTGCAGTTCAGCCATAGTCCCCACATACCGCTCGTATCAATGCGGATAAGAGGAGCGGCGACCCACTACTCTGTAGAGTAACATTGGTATAAGCGCTTGTTACAATATGAACAGCGCATTGAAAACGCGTACTATTTTATGTACTGTTTACAAAGTGTGTTCACAAATCCACACTGAGAAAAACTACGATTGACAGAGGGGTGTAAATTATTTTTTCGATAGTGCATTTAAATGGAGGTACTGCAGGCAAGTAGTTTTCAGTTTCAAATGTATAGTTTAACAAGACAACACTTGCCACCATCCTTCAAACCCACAAGGTGAAAAAGAGCAAAGTTTTTGTGTCCATTATACTATAATGTTTATGCGAGAGCTGGGGGCTATGGGACCCCGGGGTCCCGCCATAAGGTTCTATTGTGGAGTGAAGGAAATGGTTTTATAAGGCTCGATACAGTTTTTGCTTTTAATGTTGGCCGGGCTTTATGGGTAAATGAACTAAGACCTACGCAATTTAAGTAAGAGGTTGTCATGGTCATTGCAGTTGATGCACTGAGCCATTTATTTCCTTCTGTTAGATTGATAGCATTTGTTGCATATCTAACACCTGACCACCAAACACAATTATACAATTTGTAAATCGTAGGTTTAAATTTGCGGACAAATTCTACTGA